GTAACGATCTCACGATATGCGCTGATCACAAACCTCTTACCTACGCGCTTACAAGAACGCCAAATAGCAGTGATACACCGAGACGAGAGCGACAACTACACTACATAAGTCAATTTTGTTCAAATATCAAGTACATCCAAGGGGAACGGAACGAGGTAGCAGACGCGTTATCTCGCATATCTGAAATAGAGATACTCAAAAAGACAATAGACCATAATAACCTAGCAGTGGAACAAGTGAACGACACAGAACTACAACCAACTACAAACTACAACTAAGCCTGCATGAAACAAAAGAATCTTAAGTTTTCTCACATCCCACTCCCGGAGGTCAACGACCGATATGGTGCGAAACATCAACTGCAAACATTCGACCATACCTACCACCGACTTATCGTTTTACAGCATTCAAAGCGCAACACGAACTAAGTCATCCGAATTCATATGAACATTCATACGAACCACAAGAAAAATAATAACAACTAAATTCTTCTGGCCGTCTATGAATAAAGACGTAAATACGTGGTCAAGGTCATGCATAGGTTGTCAACGTGCGAAGATTCAAAGGCACGTTATCAGTTCTCTTAGAAGGCGCCCTGAGGTAATCTCATAAATCTCTCCACTGGGTCAGCCGGTGAGTAGTCCGCCTGAGAAGAAAAGCGGCTACAAATTGGCGCCCAACGTTGGGCCATCGATCCAGACCTCTGTGTGTGTGCTGTGTGAGTGTGCCTAGGGGTATTCACTTTGGAGGAGACACTTCCCTCCGTCCGATACTCCCCAGGACGTTAATTGGTTGTGCGGGTGCAGTACGCACGTAATAATATAATCTCATTGTATTTTCAGCCTATTGTACCATCATCCCTGAGGCAAGGAAAATCTTTGAGACACCTAAATTCCAAATTGACTCAAAATTCCAACTGCACAGTTCCCGGTAAGTTTTGAAACATTTTTTGGCCAAACTAAATTTTTTTTTTTCTTTTTTTGTTTCACTACTTCTGTTAGTACCTTTGAGGTCCGTAGCGTGAAGTTGTGCATACGTGTATATTCAGTGTGTTCTTTTATCCCAGTACTCCTGGTGTAATTATCTTATAAACCTAACTTAACTTATAAAGTTTTATGTACCCTCCATTTTTTATATAACCTACTGGCTTAAAATTAAAATAAAATAGTTTTGTTGTATACATACCCTACTTAGAATTTATGTCGAAATAACTTTTATAATAATAAACTTTCTCAATTCATTGGATTACTGTGTCAATATTCTAAAGATAATATAACTTGTGTCTTAACTTGTGAAACAAGAATATCTTTGTTTTTAGTTGAATTTGTTTCTCAATTTTTAAAATATTACTTAATATTTTAATATTTTATTATAATATTTTAAAATATTAATTTACTTTAACTTTCTCACACTCTGTTAATAGTGAAGAAGTATACTCAGTAGCATTATTTTTTAACTTTTGTGAACTGTAAAAGACATTAAGTCTACATTACTAGTTTGTAAACTTGTTGAGTTTTTTTTTTAATATAATTGAATTTAAATTGTAAACCACCATGGCACATTTACGTAAGTGCATTAACTACCTTAAAAAAGATGAACTTATTAATGAACTGTCTGCCATAGGGGATTTCAGCGAATCCTGATGATACGGTTGTCGGCTTGCGAAGTGAACTGCGTACTGCTTTGCGGCTTATCCGGCGTGGCAGCATTAAGGCCATCGCCGCTGTTCCTGCTGTTGCCGCCTCTGAGATTGTCTGTCTGCGAGCTTAAGGTCTTTGAACTGGAACAGGTTTTTTCTTCAGGTGACTCCGTTTCGAATTATAAATTGTCTTACTAGAGTTGGGGCTAAATACCTTCTCGCTAGGTTAGCCAGTGTAGTTTTAACTGTCTAGACCTTCTTAGGACATCCTTTGTGACCTGAGGGGTCCATTCCCTACATTCCCTACATGGGAAACGTTCTTTCAATTGTGGTCTCGGACTACGTAAAATTTTTTCTTATTATGTCCTATGAGGATTGCTTCCGGCCTACTGTCGTGTTGGGTCCCATACGGATGGCTTCAGGTTTTATGTCATGTGGTGTCCTATATGGATAACCACAGGCTTTGTAGTCGCGAGTCATAGTATAGAATGTTTTCCTAAACCACGGGGTTCGTAAAACCATTTATGTGGATTTTGGCCCTGTTGAGGATATTCCCTGCGCATACTACGCAGGGAATACTTTGAGGGAGGGGGTGGTGTAACAGTTATTTTTTAGTATATTTGTATTGCGTACGGAGTTGTCAAAAGCGACATCTATTGCCCCCCGTCGCATTTGTTGATTTATCTAAGGTAGTTTGTAGCTACAGTATGTATGTTCTTCGTTCGCCGTCGGACTACTAGATGGCGTTTGTTTGTAGATAAGTCATTTTATTGATTTATCATGACAAATTGTATAGGTATTAAGAGTGTTTTGTCATGGTTGGAAGCGAGTTACTTTTGATTTTGTTCGTGTTAACCTCGTTGATAATTTAAATGTCAAAGTAAAATGTTAAGTAGGGATTATTTCTGGAAACTTCGGAAACCGAACATATATAAGTCCGGCTTTCAGCCACGGGAGACACTCTGCTATCTCGTGTCTTCCAATCTTAAATAGTGTTTTGATTGTCTTGTGATTCTATTTTCATAATATATTATCTGTTAAAAGTACCCACGAAAGTGGTGAGTATATTATTAATTTTTCTTGTACCTATTTGTTTCTGGAACCTGATCGATAATATGAGTGCTAATCCATTCGTAGGGTCCCAGATTTCGGGTCAAGACGGTCAGTCTCAGACGGCGTGCTTGTTCGTTTGTGGCCTTTTGGTTCGAATTCAAGTTTCTCGGTACCCTCTGGCAAGCTGGCAGTCACGCGGCTCACAAACCAAGCGGACAGCCGTACTCAAGGGTTACGTACTTTCATTTAACTTTATAAATACCAATCGTGAACTTTCCTCAATACCTAATATAAATAGCCGACTGGGGCGGAAGGGGAAGTGACCTCCTGGAGTGAAGACGAGGAGGCTCCGAGCACCTTCAGCTCGGCTCTGACGCGCTCCGCTGCGGTTTTTCTTGTACCCACTGATTAATTTATATTTTTTTTTAATTGTAACTTTAATTTTGTTTTTGAAATATACATGTATGTATGACTGAGGTGTAAGTTGTTTTCCTCTAAGTTTGTTCTCTTAGAAGGCGCCCTGAGGTAATCTCATAAATCTCTCCACTGGGTCAGCCGGTGAGTAGTCCGCCTGAGAAGAAAAGCGGCTACAAGCTGTCGGTCTGAAGGATGTACAGCTATCTGCCTGTACATCTTCTCAACGTCTACAGAGATTCCATATTTATACATTCAAAATCTGAGAAGAATAGATATTAAATCGTCTTGAACGGTGGGCCTAACCATTTATATATTATTTAATGAAGTGCCCGGCGCTCGGTTGCCCGAGTCGTTCCCTCCACTCCCCTATGATGACCTGGCGGACTTGGGATTTCCGGTCATCGATTTCTCGAATCTCGGGGCATCGACCCAACTCCCGCGCCTCCTTGCGCCACTGATACAGAGCCGCAAGGGCTCTCGCCTCCAGGTCCCACGGTGGAGTTCCGGCCAGGAGACTCGCCGCCTCAAAGGAGATCGATTAATACACCTAACAATAGCGAAAATACAAAGCGAGACATGCTTGCAGCTATCGCTCGCATTTTTGATCCCTTGGGATTATTATCGCCGTGCGTTATTCGTATGAAAATGTTGCTTCAGAAGCTGTGGCTTAAGAAATTGTCATGGGATGAACAGATGCCCTTTGAGGTTGTCACTACTTGGGTTGATTTAATTAAAGCGTTGCCAGCACTTCGTTACTTAAATATTCCTCGTCGTGTTGTTTGTGACGCGTACAAAGAACTTGAAATCCACATTTTTGCCGATGCATCAGAACGTGCCTATGGTACTTGTTTATATTTACGTAGTGTGGATCTCGCCGGTAATACCACGGTACGTCTTATGATCGCAAAAAGTCGTGTCACTCCCATTAAACCCATAACCACCCCCAGGCTTGAACTTTGTGCTGCCGTCGTTGGTACCCATTTATACAAAAGGGTAATTAGTTTATGATGTGGGGGGATAGTAATAAGTGAAACGAACGAATGCTGTTACAAGACTAATCGTTTATTGTATTAAACATGATATAGTTATAGATACATGCCACCTCCACTACATCTCCCATCGAAGAGGAAATAAAATTAAATCACAAATTTAATTTTATTTATAATAAAAGAACAATAGTAATTGATATACATATTTATTTAATATCTTCTATACAAATAAATAAAATTGGAGTGTCTGTTTGTCATATTAGAATAACCGCTTTTTACTAAATGCATATCGTCGGTCTAATTATCAGAATTCGTAAGTCCATTTGAGCAAATTTTACAGGAACAGCAAAAAACTGATTTTCAAACAAGACTCAAGAGATTTTTAAAAGGGTTTTTTAAATTTGAGTATAAAATAGGTGTAGATTGATAATTTACTAACATTTTTTTGAATTTTGTAAATAATTAATAAAAAAAAGGACTTACGAATTTTTCACTTTCATTCTAGTTGGACTTACGGTTTTTTCTTTGACTTAAGAAGTTTTACAATCCAACTTATATCATTTTGTCTACGACGCAGAGGATTTACGCAGTTTTCAGACACAAAGGTGTTTGTAAAAATTAAACGCTTTCTGAGTATCAAAATTGTTTTAATGTCTTAATTATTTAGTAACAGTCTAATTAATCAGTAATTATGGCACGATAATAAGTCTCATAGCTTTTTGTATTAGTCTTAAATCTTAATTAACCAATGGCTTACACAAAATAATATTATAACAAACGAAACATTTCTCTTCCTCAGTAACATTATTCATAGTTTTAAAAGTTATAAACTACACAAAAATTATGCATTCAATTGTATAAGATTTACCACAGTCACGATTTGCCTCATTTTGAATATCACTTTAAAAATGAGGTAAATTGTCATAAAAATTGTGGTAATCTTTCTCCATAGTGTGCTTGAGGGCCTGGAGATCCTGGTATTTCTCCTTTTTAATTTTAAATCTCGCTGGATAAAGCTGTGGGATAGTATCCCATGGAATAAATGTAATATTTTTTATTCTTGTAGGAAGTTCTTGCCAATGTGTGGCCGAGTGTCTCAACTTGTATACAATTTTCCCATCAGGAGTGTATTTAAGAGCCCTTAGGTTTGTGACTGTAGGGTCACCTGCTCTTTTACCCGGTCTGATTGACTTGTGGAATTTCAAAGTATTTTCAACATCTTTGAAGAAGTGGTGATAAAGATATTGCACGTCATAAGGATTTTTCTTGCAAGCAGTTTTGGCTATGTAGACGTAATCGGCTGGAATATTTATCTTCTTATTTTTTATTGCCCTTTCTATGACGCAGTGCATACTGTCGCATTCCATTTGCGTGTGCCCTTTTTCGAGGAACTTTTGTTTGACAGTTACTTTTTTTTCCATGCTGTAGTTTAGTAGAGCGTTCGATAGTACAGAGTTTCTGTTTTGATAGGTACAGCCATCACTATAAATAATTATTTCTTGGTTGCTTTCCAAAGGATTTTGTGTTATGAACTTCTCGATAGCTTCTATGATTACTGTTGAAAATTCGTTGCTAGTTAGCTTCCCTTCACTTTCATTCCAAATGTAACAATAACCTTTATTTCTTTTACAATCGAAGACTGTGAAGTTATGTACAATGAGTTTCGTCTTATAATAGAGTGACGACACATTTGACCGCGGGCTTAAAAGCACAGATTGCAAATCCATGGTAAGTACTTCATGTTCTGATGCGGTGTCTTTAGCAAGTTCGTTCCTAGCTTCCTCTTTCTTATCACGGTGTATTTTATAATCAATTTCTGATACATTTCCGGTTTTATATGACTCACAAATGTCACACAAGTCCTTTTTCGGTCTATATAAGGACAAATTAAGCGCTTCAAACATGTTAGAGAAAGTTGTAACGCTTAATGGCTCAATTTTTTCTCTGACACAGAATTCTTTTCTGTATGTTCCATAGAGCTGAGTTTTTGACGTCCACATAGGTTCCAAGTACAGCTTTAAGGAATTTTTTCGACAATAATGTGATTCAAGCTTAGGTATGGAATCAAAAAACTTACGTAACTGCATTTTAGCTTCATCTTTTGTATTGTTTTTTGGTACATCTTTAGGTAGATCGTCTTGAATTATCCACTTTTTTATAACCCATTCTCCAACACACAAACTGTTAAGAAACATGGTTTTGCAGACCCGATATCTTATCCCCTCGCTATCAGTTAAATATAGTTCTACTGAATTTTGCCGTCTTGAATTGCCAGCACACCTTTCTCTTTCTTTTGTCTTGCAAATTGAAGACATTTTAACAAACATCTTCTTTTCTTTCCAGGTAATATTCCAGAATTTATCAAAAATCTTTTGTCTTTCCTCGTCTGATATTTTATCACAGTTTATCTTTGTATCACCTTTTAAACTTAATTTGCACTTGCACCTAGCTTTCATCTTTCTATCGAGTTTAGGTTCAACAAACCCCCATTTATTTTCTATCTTCTTCTTTCCTAAATAAGCCTTTCCTTTTTCTCTTTGTTCCTTGTTTTTATTTGCGTTCCATTCTTGAGGCTGACTCTTCTTTTGTCTCTTTCGTGGTGGTTTTTCTGTTGACAAAGTACTAGCTTGCTCAGCTGATTCAATATGTCCGTCTGATGACATCGGAATAAAACTGTCAACAAGTTGAACTATTTCTGTGCTAGTTACAGTGGCAATTTCATTTTGCGTATCCGACTCCATGTTTTCATTAGTGGCCCATTCTTCTTGGTGACTTGTCGTCCCCTGTCGCGATGTTACTTCATCTGCTATGTTCTCATTATCCGTATGTTTTTAGCTAAGTTCATAAGTACAGTTGTAGGCATCAAAGTGCTAGCCTGCTCAACTGATTCCATGTGTGATGGGATCTGAATCAAACTGTTCATAGCAGGTATATTATCGGGATGTATTATTTCTGTTACAATAGTAGCTGTTGCAATGTTATTAAGGGTGTCACATTCAGGTAATATCGACTGTAGATCTGAATCAAATAAAATAGAAATGCCACTTGTTGGGTTTTGATGTGTTGAACTTTGTTGAAGAGACCGGTCGCTTTTAATTATTATGTTTTGTGGTTTATCAAGCACCAAAACATTATTATTTTGTAGCGTGCAGCATCCTGTTTTAATCTCAGGGTCGGTCGGAACATTTTGCAGTATTTTCGCTATCCGTGAATTTTTCTTCATTATGGTTCTAAAACAACAAAAATTCAAGCTTAGAGATAACCAAAACAATCAATCAAAGTACTATAATATTCAATAAAACTGCGTATCTCCGTATTAAGCACTGGAATACTTGTACGTTATCAAAAAATAAAAACTCTTAACTCCACTCGACAACAAAATAGTTATTTTCGCTTCTTTATAATACACATTTATCGCTATAATAAATAATTAATTGCATAAACTTACCTTCCAATCTCCACTTCCACGCAAATAATCACAATAACACCTAAATAACAACTCAAAAATAATTCACAATGTGCACGCCCTTCAACGAAGTTCGCTGACGCGTACTAAGCGCGGGAGTTACGTCTTTTGCAAACTACAAAATGGCGTCGCGGAGTTACGTGTATTTCTAATTTTGAAATATCATTTTAGGCAATTTTTTGCGGGAAATACGAAGTAATCCATCAGATGTGCATAAAAAATCTCCGTAAGATGGCGTTAAAACAAATATTTTAATTTTTTTGGAGATACGAATTCTGATAATTAGGCCGACGATATGTATGTTTACACGGTACATATGTCAAAATAACATTTTTTACAATTTTTGTCTGTCTGTCTGTCTGTTTGTTCCGGGTAATCTCACGAACGGCTGGACCGATTTCGACGGGACTTTCACTGGCAGATAGCTGATGACATAAGCAGTAACTAAGGCTACTTTTTTTAGACTAGCTTCGCCCCGCGGCGTTGCCCGCGGTTATAACAACAAACGCGGGTAACACCGCGGGTCTCAGCTAGTAAATATATATGACAACAGTTAAAATCATTAAACATTAACAGTAATTTATCGTTCGTAAATATGTAAGGAAGTTAAAATATAAATTAACTAGCTTAGATAACAACAAACGCGGGTAACACCGCGGGTGTTACCCGCGTTTGTTGTTATAACCGCGGGCAACGCCGCGGGGCGAAGCTAGTGTCATATATGATTAAATATAACGTTTTATTATAAAGAAACATGAAAACTTATAATATTACATTCGTTTGTATTTACTAAGTATCAAACCTTACGAATATGTATTAGCTGGTTAGGCATAATACTAGAAGATAACATAATTAAATGATTATTTTTTATTATTTGGAACATATAATTTAGTACGATTTTCATGTATTATATCGATTTTACCGTCTCTGGAAATTTGTACGTTAGGTGACATATCTTTTATTACAGTAAATGGTCCCAAATATACATTGGCTAGCTTATTAGAAGTTTCGTTTTTTATTAATATTAAGTCGTTTTTCTTATATTGGATAGAGTTCATAGTGCATTCGTATTTTAATTTCCTAGTTAACTTTGATTGTAATAAATTATCTCGAGCATCTTTTGAAGACACCTGCAGTCCGTATTTTAATTCTAAGGGATAGTTATCGTAATTATGAAGTGAATCTATACCTTTTGTAAGGTTGCTAGGTAAGTTGCATTTCTTGCCGTATACTAGCTCAAAAGGAGTATATTTAGTTTCCGTATGGACGGAAGTATTATAGCTGAAGCACCAATATGGCAACCAAGTACTCCATGACTTAGGATATTTACCTGTTTGTATTCTTAAAAAGCTTTCTAAGTGTTTGTGAGCATTTTCGAGGGCGCCTATGCTCTCGTGTCGGTAAGCAGTAGAGTTAATCTTATTTATATGAAGTAATTTACAAGTTTCTTGCATTACAGTTGACATAAATTCGGATTAGAAGGAATTCCATAACGTAAAATAAAATTACATACAAAATTGTTTGCCACCTCAGTGCTAGTTTTTGGGACTAAGGGATATGCCTCTATATATTTTGATAATTCGCATTGAAGTGTCAATACACATATATGAGTAACCTTGCTGATCTGTATCTATCGGTCCTACCACATCTAAATAAATTTTCTCGAACGCAGAAAAATATTTAAGAAGTCATAACCGATGATGCCATCCGCCTTACATGGCAAACTGTTAAAAACATAAAACTTATGATTAAAAACATTCTCTTGTGTCATCAACGGTAAGTACGCGTATCCGATTGCTTCTACTTTGTCCCCAATACCATTTATTGTGGTTCTCCATTTATGCAAACGAATGTTTTGGTGAATGATGCAATCATAAGTTATAGCAGAGATCGATGCCCCGGTGTCAATTAGTCAAGAATATTCCTTACTATTTAAAGAACACCTATACCTATACCTTCCGGTTAATAATGGAAAATAATTTCAATCAAATGGCTGCCGCGGCTGGCCATGCAGTAGCCTACACGATCGGTCCAATTTTTAAGCACATTATCGATTGTGTGCAGCTGTATTTCACCAATGGCTTCACGAATATTGTCCTTAAAAGCGTCAATTGTCTCTGGCTTGTCGGCGTAACACTTATCTTTGAGCGCACCCCACAAATAATAGTCCAGCGGTGTCAAATCGCAGCTCCGAGGTGGCCAAACGACATCAGCTCTGCGGCTGATAATGCGATCTTCAAAAACAGGGCGCAAAACATCGAGTGTAGCTTCGGCTGTGTGGCACGTAGCGCCGTCCTGTTGAAACCAAATGTTGCCAATATCCTCTTCTTCAATTTTTGTGAACAAAAATTCGTTTAACAATGCCCGATAACGATCGCCATTGACTGTAACGGCCACTCCTTCCTTATTTTCGAAGAAAAATGGCCCAATTATGCCTCTGGACGAAAATCCGCACCAAACAGTGACTCGTTTTGGGTGTACCGGCTTTTCAATGTATGCGTGCGGGTTTTCTGTGCCCCAAATGCGACAATTTTGCTTGTTTACATACCCGCCAAGATTAAAATGAGCTTCATCCGAAAAGATGATTTTTTTTGGCAAAATCGGCATCTTCTGTAAGTCGATCGCAGGCCCACTCAGCGAAGCGAAAACGCATTGGATGGTCAGTTAACTCCTGAACCAATTGGACTTTGTATGGCGTCATACCAAGTTCTTTATGCAAAATTCATCTCAATGATGTCTCCGAAATGTTCAATTGTTGAGAACGACGGTGAATTGATGTTGATGGCGCTTCACGCACACTTTCTGCCACAGTATCAATATTCTCGGGTGTACGCACTGTTTTTGGCTTTTCACGCTTTGGTTTATCGATGAGAATGCCAGTTTCTTTCACTTTTTTTACAAGATAACGAACATACGGAGCAGACGGTGCTTCTCTTCTTCCAAAATCCGTACGCAATTTTCGCACACATTCTGCAACATTACCATGATTTTCAAAGTAATGTCGCAATATTTCCCAGCGTTGTTCAAGCGTATACACAACCATATTCATTCAGCGGAAGGATAAAACTAATTATCTGTCAAATCAGACATGAGCTAAGTGTTACTGTTCAATCGAAAGTTAATATTTTCTATTTTTTGCAACACGCGATAGATGGCGTTGTCCCGGTCGGCTGAATCGCGGTGTTAAGATTCTCCGGCCGTAGTATGTAAGCTACACAATAAATAAATTTTATGAGCTCGCATCTAACGGTTGTTTAATTACTCTGTGAAACGTACCTTGAAGCTAGGTAATCTAACATTTTTTTGGTCCATCGAAGCCGGACGGGTTTATTGATCGTCAATAAATCCCCAGCATTTTGATCCGTTGGCTTCTTGGCTAGGCTATTGCCACGCTGGTAATAGTGTACGTTTAAAACGCGAATTGTGTGGTGAAAAACTTGAAGCTAAGGACCCGACATAGCGGAATTCATCGCTTGGAGTTGCGACGAATAAACGGCGGAGGGCGCTGACAGTAAAATTATTGAAGTTGCGCTAGTGTTGCCAGTGGATGCCACTGGATTTCCTACTTGGCTGTTGTTGGAGCTTGTGACGTCAAGGAAAGTGACGTGACATACCGGCAGTGACGCGTAAAGAGGTTTGACAGAAACGAAAACTGTAAGTAGTGAACAATTATTGACTTTTATTAAACTTTCAAGAATATCAGTGACAAATCTGAACTTAGAAAAATTGCTTTAGTAGAAGATTTTGGGACTTGTAATATTTTAGTTATAATTGTTGTAGTGTTGAATTTAGTTTTAGACTTAGAATAGTTAAGCAAATTTTGTTCATACGGGGAACCTATGCCCGATTTTACCCCGGTGCAAAAGTTGCTAAAACACTTGTAAAATTTTTAGATTTTATCATACACTTGTGATTTTGCTTGTCGTTACAAATTCTATCTTTGAATTTTTTCGCTGTGCTTAGTGTAGACAGCTTGTAACTTAGAAATTTACCATAGATTGTGTAATTTGTTGTGAGTAATTATAAATATTTACAATGAAATCATTAATTAAATTACAATTAAACAATAAAACTATAATTGAAAAGGCTAGAACTAATTTTAAAAAGTCACCAAAAGATCGTATAACACAAACATATTTGCAAACAAGATTAGAATCGTTGGAAGAACAGTGGAAACAATTTGTAATCACACATAGAAATATCATCGAAAAGGCAAATGAGTCAGATTTGGATAACGCGTATTTTTCAAATGAGGTATACGACAATACAGAGGAGTTGTACATATCATATAAATCAGAACTTAAAGAACAAATGAATGTAAGCACCATGAAGAATATAACACCACAAAATCAACAGGAAAAAATGTCGTCAATTGTTAGATTGCCTAAAATTAGTCTACCTACTTTCTCTGGTTCGTACACTGAGTGGACATCATTCAGAGACTTATTTTTGTCTCTTATACACAACAACAACTCATTAGACGATGTACAACGTCTTAATTATTTAAAAATTCATCTGTCAGGAGAAGCGGAACAGCTACTGCGACATAGACCAGTAACGGCCGCTAATTACAGCGAATCTTGGTCTATTTTATGTAAACGATACGACAACAAGAAATTTCTATCTCATAGCATGCTAAAGCGATTTGTCAAACAACCAGCAATTGTAAAGGAGTCTTCAACTTCTATAAAAAATCTTTTAGACACTACAGTCGATTGTTTGCATGGTTTGGGTACTCGAAAATTGTGGGAATCAAATATCAGTGTTGATGATAATCTACCCACATTTGTTGAGTTTAAGGTTTTTTTGGAATCGAGATTTCGTTCACTAGAATTTTTAGGCACTAAGCCCAATAACCAATCCAAGAGTCAGAATAGTAATGTAAATTGCAATGTCAAATCCTTCCATGTCGCTTCTCTAACATGTATCTTGTGTTCCGGCGATCATAAATTATGTCACTGTAAACAGTTTGCAAGGCAAGATTGTGAGGCACGTCGTGACTTTGTTTGGGTCAATAAATTATGCTATAATTGTTTAGGAAGTAGTAGGCCAAAACCTCCTTTCTAAGGAGAGGCCTATGTCCAGCAGTGGACTATTAAAGGCTGTTGATGATGATGATGTGTTTAGGAAAAAATCATTCCGTATATTCTTGCCGTCAATCAACCAAATGCCATCTTTGCAAAAAGAGACACCACACATTACTCCATCCAAAACCAACCGTCGATGCCACTGAACCAGCAAACGGTTCAGGGGAAACGAATGTAGTAGTTGCTACGGCAGCTGCTTTTTCTAACCAATGCGAGTCCACCACTATTTGTTGTTTTGCAGATGTGCACAACCAAGGTTTACTTGCCACAGCCTTGGTCAACGTTGAGTCGAGAACTGGTTCCACTGTTGTTTTAAGAGATCTGATGGATCAGGGCTCTCAGGTCTCTTTCATCACAGAGGCCGCGGTCCAGTTGCTCGGTTTAAAGAAAACACCTGCTCACACCGACATACTGCGACTGGGCGATGATGAGGGGGTTCCTATGCCTTCTAAGTGGGTAGTAAGATTCAAATTGCAGTCACGCCTAGATCCCACTTTTGTTTTGTATGTCGATGCGTATGTATTAAACAGACTCACATCACATCTTCCTGAGAGGAAGATTGTTAATGTGCTGCCGTCGATTTCATCCCTAGAACTTGCAGATCCGTCCTTTGATATGCCGGGTAAGATAGACCTTTTACTGAGTACTCGCGTGGTCGGTGAAGTTCTAGTGGACGGCTTGGTCAAGGGCCCACCTGGATCGCCAGTAGCCCAAAGGACCAAGTTAGGGTGGATCTTGTCTGGCGAGATCCACACGTCGCGCAGGACTCAACCAGTATGTTGCAATGCAAGCATAGACGTAAACGGGCTTTTGAAAAAATTTTGGGAGTTGGAATCGGAGTCTTCTGCTCACAGGGTCATCTTGACCGAGGAAGAGCAAAGGTGTGAAGATTTCTTTTCCAACACTACCAAAAGAGATGCAACAGGACGATATATTGTCAAGTTGCCATTCAAAACCAACCGTCCTAGCTGTGTTTACGGGGGGTCCGAGGATATAGCTCGTAAACGGTTCTACATGCTGGAAAGAAAGTTGTCAAGAAATCCTGAGCTAAGACAGCAGTACTCTGAAGTTGTTCAGGAGTATGTTCGCTGTGGGCACGCCGAAGTTGTTCCTCAAGCACTGTTAAGGAACGATGCCTTTTATTTACCACATCACGCCGTAGTACGCGACGATAAAAGTACTACTAAGGTTAGGGTCGTCTTCGATGCCTCTTGTTCGGGTAGCAATGGTGTATCGTTGAATGACGAATTAATGGTTGGCCCAACCTTACAACCTGATTTGCACCACATCATCATGAGATGGCGATGCCATCCCATTACATTAGTAGCAGACGTTGTGAAAATGTACCGGCAGGTTAAGATAGCTGAAGGCGATGTAGATTACCAAAGGTTTTTATGGCGTGACAACCCAGATTCTGAGTTGCAACATCTACGTCTGCTGCGTGTCACCTTCGGTGTATCTTCAGCTCCATACTTGGCGGTGCGTACTCTGGTACAACTAGCTCGTGACGAAGGGAAGGATTATCCTCTAGTCGCGGACCTTGCTCTTAAAGATTTTTATGTAGACGATTTCTTGTCAGGTTGTGAATCTGTAGAAGACGGTGAAGAAATTTATCATCAGATGAATAAGTTAATGGCACGCGGAGGCTTCCAGCTTTGGAAGTGGTCCAGCAGCAGTGACAAACTATTAACTAAAATACAAAATGGAACGGATACAACTCATGACACAATACATTTTAAAATGGATAAGATTATGAAAATATTAGGCTTAACTTGGAATAGAGACACAGATGAATTTCAATATACTGTCCATCTTCCTCCGCTGGAGCCTCCCGTGACAAAGCGTAGAGTGATATCTGATATCGCCCGCTTGTTCGATCCTTTGGGCTGGCTTGCCCCAGTAATAATAACAGCCAAGGTGTTTATACAACGCTTGTGGCTCTCTGGAATCGAATGGGATGATGAACTACCACATCACTTACTGACGGATTGGCTTAGCTACAGAAACTCCCTCGAAAGTTTAGTTGCTTTCCGTCTACCTAGGTGGATTCACATAAGCAGACATGACCAGCATGCTGAACTGCAAGGCTTTTGTGATGCCTCTAATGAAGCGTATGCAGCAGTAGTCTATACGCGGTCCATAGATTCCAACGGCACTGTTTTCGTCAGTCTTGTGGCATCAAAAACCAAGGTGGCCCCCGTCACACAGGTTTCAATACCTCGTGTGGAGTTGTGCGGCGCGGTACTGCTATCAAAACTTCTCTGTGAAGTTTCGGACACCTTGGGAATAGAAAGAAAGTATAGTCATGCCTGGACTGACTCATCAGTGGTTCTTGCTTGGCTTGGAGGCCACCCTAGCCGATGGAAAACCTCACCGTTATGGAGTTGCTGAAATTCTCACCGTTATGGACAGGAATCAATGGTCGCATGTTCAATCGAAGGATAATCCCGCCGATTGTGCATCGCGAGGTGTAAAGCCTTCTGCATGCGTAAATCTAGATTTGTGGGTAAGGGGACCTAGCTGGCTCAGAGACGAAGTAGTAAATTATAGTAAGGGTAGTATAATTCAAACCAATCTAGAGGAAAAGAAAACAAATGTAACATCGTGCAATATACTAATTAAAAGTGATGAAGAGAATAATATAATGTCAAAATTTTCATCTTTAAGAAGGTTAATAAGAGTAATTGCATACTGTAGAAGGTTTCTAAAATCAAAATATAAGCAAAATAATCAACCTAATTCATCTCTTTGTTTATCGTTTGCCGAAATTAATGCAAGTTTGTTAGTATGCATCAAAATGTGTCAACGTAAATATTTTTTGAATGACATAGATGCTTTAAACAAGACAGGCAAGGTCGACAAAAGAAGTAAACTCGCCCAACTAAATCCCTACTTTGACCAGGATCAAATCATGAGAGTTGGCGGGAGGTTACAGAGAGCCCATATTGATGACACAATGAAGCATCCAATTATACTTCCTCACAAGTCGCATTTGACAGGCCTTTTGGTAGCTGATGCTCATGAACGCAATTTGCACGGCGGCCCACAATTAGTCCTTAATTTTTTGAGATCTAAGTTTTGGATCATCAATGCGAAAAGCGTAGTTCGTCAACATGTGCGGAAGTGTGTAATCTGTATGCGTTACTCGGCGCGAGTTGTACCTCCGCTAATGGGCCAGCTACCGTCAGCCAGAGTCAACCCTAGCCGACCGTTCTCTAAAAGTGGTGTGGACTATGCAGGTCCTGTTAATGTGAGGCCCGCAAGGGGGCGCGGTTATCACTCCACTAAAGGCTATATTTGTTTATTTGTCTGCATGGCGACCCGTGCTATTCATTTAGAGGTTGTAAGTGATATGACGTCGGAAGCATTTATAGCAGCCTTTAAACGCTTTACATCGAGACGGGGCCACTGTAGTGAGATGTGGAGTGACAACGGCACCACCTCATCGGAGCCAATAGAGAGTTGAAGGCTTTGTTTAACCAGGAAAGGTCAGGCGTAGCTTCAGACATCGCTGATTGGATCGCTCCTAATTTTGGAGGGCTTTGGGAGGCTGGAGTGAAGTCCACAAAACATCACCTCAGACGAGTTGTGGGTACCAGCACGCTTACTTTTGAGGAACTAACTACTGTTCTCGTTCAGATAGAGGCGTGCCTGAATTCACGGCCGCTCTCTGCTTTTAGTGGCAATCCCGATGATCCGTATCCGTTAACTCCAGGTCATTTTTTGGTTGGCGAACCGATCGTGCTCCCACCTGAGTCAAACTTTGAGCATTCAAACGTAAGCACGTTAAGGCGATGGCATTTAACTCAGCGTCTGGTTCAAGATTTTTGGCGTCGATGGTCTCATGAATATCTCGTTCAGTTTCACCATCGGCATAAATGGTCCCATCAAACTCTGGAACCGAATGTAGGCGATGTGGTTTTGGTTATGGAAGATGACTTGCCTCCTGCAAGATGGCTCCACGGTTTAATAACCGAAAAGCATACTGGTTCAGACAAAGTCACAAGGGTTGTGTCACTGCGTTGCAAGGGGTCTATAATCAAAAGGCCCGTTTCGAAACTAATAGTACTGCCTGTTATGTCTTAATTGTAAGATTGTGTGAATTTTATTTTGTTAATTTTAAGAACATTGTTTATGAAAACTTTTACATTGGCAACCTATACTACTAAATTTTTTACAGTCCACTATTTATAACTTGTAATGCCCATCTTAATTTGTGTGATATATAATTCTTAAGAGTTCCGTCATGGTGGGCGGCTACAAAAGTTTGTGATTAATTTTATATAAGTTATGGACATTCCGTCCATGGTGGGCGGGATGTTCAATCGAAAGTTAATATTTTCTATTTTTTGCAACACGCGATAGATGGCGTTGTCCCGGTCAGCTGAATCGCGGTGTTAAGATTCTCCGGCCGTAGTATGTAAGCTACACAATAAATACATTTTATGAGCTCGCATCTAACGGTTGTTTAATTACTCTGTGAAACGTACCTTGAAGCTAGGTAATCTAACAGTTACCATTCACGACGATAAGCACTAGTTGAAAAAAAAAACTTTAGATGGCGAACATTACAATTACAATATTACAATTATTATCATAAAACCTACCTCTAAATCCATGTCCCGGAGAACAACCTCGATGTGTACCAGTCCAATTCCCTTGAGCTCTGTGTTGCTGGGCAGGCCCCCTTACATATGCACCCCTGCCCCTCAGGCTTGGGGTCGAGTGCAAACCTCGTTGATTACCTCTGTAATTATTGCTATATGTTGACCTATTAGGTTTTCGCATGGTTAAGATATCAGAAGAACTAATAGACGATGAAAGCTCCTCGTCGACAGCTGCCTAAATGGCATCATTTAACGCATTATAGTTCCTGGCTGCTATGATTGTACTTAACCTACGGTTTCTCAATCCGTCAGCGAAGCGCTTAATTGCAAGCTTTTCATTTACCCGTTTCAATACGTCATAACTATCAGTATGTCAGCCGGATTGTGAAATCGTTAGGTCAACAAATAGGGTGGATATCTCCTGGCCAAAGTCAGATTTAGATTTTTCATTCTGTTTCACGGACTGCAATTTACTTTGTATGGCTGTAAATGACTTTTTGGGTAATAGGTGTAACTTCATATCCTTAACTAATTGATATACACTGGCGTAATTCAATGCCAATCGTAATTTCGCAGACTGGGATAAACGACTTTTTAAAATAAATTGTATCAAATTAGCTTTCGACGCATCTTTTAAAACAGAGTCATAATATTCTATTCCGTCTATTAATTCGCTATCATTCATCACTGGTAATAAGCTAAGCTCAATTTTCAGGTCAAATTTCACCAGTTCAACAATTTCGAAGTACAATTTGTCAATTTTTCTGCAATATTGTCAATTAATTCTAAGTCAGACGTTGGCTTAAGTTCTCTTACTTTACTAAGTTCTTTCAAGTACCTAACTGTTATATTGTTGATCTAAACTATCTGTTTCACTCAACTTTTTCTGACATATTTCCTTTTGTCACCTACTGGGGCCGATTTTAATTAAATAAGTTCTAATAGTATACTCCATTATGCAATTCCTTTAAAAATTCTGCCATCAAATAGTCACCGTAAAATATTTACTAAAATATAAACATAATAATTAATGATAATACCTTACTACATGCCACCTCCACTACAAGTTCACTTCGTACTCAAGCCTCGAGTGTAGTTTTTGGACAGATTCTATGATCGTTCTGGGTTGGCTAAAGATACTGCCGATTAGATTAAACACTTTTGTTAGGAATCGTCTTGCAGACATCTTAGACCAAACTAATTCTTGCACATGGAGACATGTACCCACTCATGAGAACCCTGCTGATCTCATATGACGAGGAGTGGACGCGACCGCCTTGCAGTCCCTTGATCTATGGTGGCAAGGCTCATCGTTTTTACAAAAGGACAGCAGTGCTTGGCCCAGCATTGAAACGTCGGAGACGGCTAGTGATTTACCAGAAATGAAACCTACTATCTGTTTAGTTAGTTGTCACTATGATAAAGAGATAAGTACGTGATAGTATTCGAGCGTTTTTCTAAGTTATTAAGATTGCAACTTGCTGTATGTTATGTGTTTCGTTTTATTAAGAAATGTAAGTGTCAACTATTGTGCTCTTCATCTTTGTCTGTAGAAGAATCAGAATATTCATTGAATTGCATTATTATTCAGTCGCAACGTGAGTCCTTTCCGGAATATAATTTATTGATTAACAATAAAAAACTACCTAATAAAAATCAAGTATTAAAATTAAATGTATTTTTAGACAACAATAAAATCATGCGTGTAGGACGTAAGTTACACAACTCCGAATATTCGTTTGAAAAGAAACATCCAATACTTATACAGTCCACTCATTGTTTTACAAAACTTTTATTTAGATTCGAGCATTTAAGATTACTACACGCTGGTCCCCAATTATTACTAGCAACAATAAGAGAAACTTACTGGCCGCTGAGTGGTCGCAATCTGGCTAGAACCTGCTATCGGCAATGCGTTACATGCGGGTAGGACTATTGCTCCACAAATGTGTAATATATCAGTAAGGAGACTTTCTCCATCAGACTTCCCCTTCCAAACTGTAGGAGTAGACTATGCAGGCCCGATTAACTTTGTCAGCCGTCAAGGTCGGGGATCTAGATTAGTGAAGGTCTATATCGTTATTTTTGTATGCTTTACCACTAAAGCCATACATTTAGAGTTAGTCGGTGATTTGACGGGCAGTAATTAATATATAGAACAAACAGGCTTATATACAGACTTTGCGACGATTTATGTCCCGTAGAGGGAAACCTTTAAATATTTATTCCGATAATGGAACGAAATTTGCAGGAGCGTACAATGAAATATCAAAGTTTTTAAAGCATAATTGTGACTCCTTAGCTGATGGTGTGGCTCAAGATGGGGTCAAATTTCATTTTATACCTGCTTACTCGCCAAATTTTGCTGGTTTCTGGGAGGCGGGAGTAAAGTCGACTAAACACCATTTAGTCCGAGTGTTGGGCAATTGTAATTTGTCATACGAGGAATTGAACTCGACTTTAGTTCAAATTGGAGGTGTATTAAATTCAAGGCCACTCACTCCTCTTTCGTCGAACTCTGAAGACCTTTTGCCTCTCACTCCTGGTCAATTTTAATTAGAAGACCTCTTACGTCTCTGCCAGTCAAGGATCTTCGCGATCAGTAGATTCACCGGCTGACACGCCACCAACGCATCGAGCAATTGCGGCAACACTTTTGAGCGAGGTGGAGCAAAGAATACGTCTCCGAGCTTCAACAGCGAGTAAAATGGCAAGGACTCGTTACAAATTGGCTCCCTCGTCATTATAAAGGACGACAATTTGCCGCCACTCAAGTAGAAGATGGGGCGGATCGTTACTCTTCATCCAGGCAGTGACAACATAATCTACATACATAATAATCTTCTAATCCTGAGACTTCGAAGTGAGTATCATCTTTATGCCGATGACCTGCAGCTCTATTCACAAAGTAAGGTTGAAGATATCTCAATAGCAATAGATATGGTCAATAGAGACCTGGAAACAATTTAAGCATGGTCTGACCAGTTTGACCTATCAGTAAATCCCACGAATTGTCAAATTATAATTATTGGAAGTCACCGATTGATGAGCAGAGTAAACATTGAGATGCTTCCATCTATTATCTTTAACGGCAATATAATACCTGTTTGTCAATCTGTTAAGGATCTTGGCTTGCTCCTCGATTCCACACTGAATTGGCGTGATCAAATTGCATATCTGTGCCGGAGGGCTACTGGTACTCTTCGAGAGCTATATCGCCTGAAAAAATTTCTACCCGCAAAAACCAAAACCATGCTTGTGCAAACACTTATCTTCCCAATAATTGACTATGGTGACGTGTGCTGTTATGACCTGAATGTAGATCTTCTCGATAAGCTAGACCGTCTTCTTAATAACTGCATTCGATACATCTTTAACCTCCGTAAATATGATCATGTGTCAACTTTCCGTTCTCAGCTTAACTGGTTACCCATTCGTCTACGTCGTAAATTACGCGCTCTCACTGTCTTATTCAATATTCTTAATAACCCATCTTCGCCAAGGTATCTAGCTTCCAATTTCCAATTCCTATGTAGTAATCACGATAGAAATCTTCGGTCCTCCAATAACCTTCTTCGTTGTCCGGCCCACACGTCTGAGTTTGTTGGCTCTTCCTTTTTCGTTCAGTCCGTTCGTCTTTGGAATGCGCTTCCACTCGAAATCAGGATGGCTTCCAATACTCTTTTCCTTTAAATTAAAAGTAAAGCAGCTTTTTTTTCTTTGGAGGTAGTTGCGAAAACAAGTCGCGTATTTTTCTCTGTATCTAAATAAAGTTTAGAAATAATAAACACAGTTATAATTAGCATAAATTTAATGAAAAACAACATATAAATATACTACCTGCCGGAGCAAGTGTTTTCCTTTGAGTAGTTAACATTCATTAGTAATACTATTATATTTCGCTTCCAAGATGAACACAGTCTCTGAATCCATCACTCAGATGAGCCTTGACTTCCACAAGCGGATGGTCGAGTTCGAGGCAAAACTGCAGAAGGAGCCGGGACACCTAGTACTATCTCCAGTCTGACAGCGGAGTTTGCAGCATTTAAGTTGCTAACTATGCAGTCCTTGACCAATTTGCAACAGCAAGTGGAAGCCATCGCACGGAGTATTGATGTTCTTGAGATGCATGGGCGCAGGAAGATCCTCCTCTTCCATGGCTTAGTTGAGGATAAGAAAGAGGACACCACTCAGGTGATTGCCACCCTCATCAAGGACCAGTTTGAACAGGAGCACTTCAGTGTAAAAGACATCAAGCGTTGCCAGAGGTTGGGTCGACGGACAGATACACAGAGGACCAGACCAATCCTAGTCAAGCTGCAGTCAGTTTTGACTCGCGACAATATTTGGTTTAGCAAAACCAAGCTAAAAGATTCCGGCGTCACTGTATCCGAGTTTCTCAGGAAAACACGTCACGATATCTTCATGTCTGCCCGAGAAAGATACGGTGTAAACAACTGTTGGACCAGGCAGGGTTATGTGTACGTACTGGGCCCGGACGGAAAACAGCATCGGGTGTCGGCACTGGCGGAGCTGAACGGGATCGGAGACAGCTGTGAAAACCCTGCGGCGACTGCGAAAGCAATGACCACAAAATCGAAACGAGCGGCAGCGAAAAAGTAAATATATTTCACTGTTCCCATTGTTTACATTGTGATGCGAAAGGCACTTTTATTCTGTGTACCGCCGTAGATTAATTTATAATATGCAGTCCGTACCCCACTTTTGACACTATTTTAAACTGTACACAATAATAAACTTCTCCAATACAATTATTATTCAAAACTCGGTACATTGTCAAGACTGATGTCAAACTTCAAAATATGTGTCAAAGGCGTCCATTGCTTTTGTATTTTATGCCAAGATGAACGTTACGATTCACTCACAGTGCGTTCCGACTCACTGATATAACATTGTCGTTGTGCTTAATAATTTATGTAAGTATTGGACTTTTTATCCTTACAATAAGTAGTCCTCGCATATCTATTATAAGTTACTTCGACCATTTTCAGAAATACATGTATCTCATATTATTTATTTTCTTCTTTGTGCGTTATCTTAGTTCAATGAATATATGTATTTAGATAAAAAATGTTGACGTATTGGTTTAATAATGTATAACACCGAACCGGCAGATAGTTAACAGAACGATTAGGTGTACTGTACTGGTATACGACATAC